GCCGGTCCGGGAGCCGCCGCCTCCTCCCGCCGCCGCCTCCCCCTTCCCACCACCTGCACCCCGCGGGAGCCCCGCTCTGTCCCTCTCCGTCCCGCTCCGCGCGGGCGGCCCCGCGCCGCGTCCCACCTGCGCAGCAGAGCAGCACGAGGGCGAACAGCAGCGGCAGCGACGGCTCCATGGCGCGGGCGGCGGCACCGGCAGCTCTGCCTCGCCGCGGCGCCTCCAGCCTGCCCCGCCCCGCCCCGCGCGCACCGCCCAGCAGGTGAGGCGACCGTCACTTCCGGCCGCCAACGGCACCCAACGACCCCCAACGGCCGAGCCCACGCGCCCACAAGCACTAACGGTCGCCGCGGGCCGSGAGCTCGGCAGCGCAGGGGCTCCCGCGCACGCAAAGCGCGTGGGCAGGGGGTGCCCGACGGGCGCTCAGCACGTCCCWGCCACGCAGGGGGCTCGGGGGTGCAGGGCAGTCCACGACGGACAGTGCCAGAGCACTAGGGGCTTTTGTGGCGTCGCCTCGCCACAGCCTTGGCGCTTGTGGCGGGGATAGGCGTGCGCAGCAACTGGTGCGCTCGGGCCTGGCAAAGAGTGCTGGCTCTGCCCRTTTTGTCCATCGGAAGTGGAAAGTGGGTGATGCCTTAGCCGAAAATGCCCTAAAATAAGGATGAGCGGTTAAACGGTGGCCACATTAGAAAAATAAATAAAAATAAATCAAATTTAAAAAAAATGTAGTGTGGACAGACTCAAGTCATGATCACGGAAGAAAATCCAGGCTTCTTTTGACTCTTGCTGGGTTTTGCCTTTTGCTGTTACAGAGCACACGCACAAAAAGCCCATCTTAATCAGTCCCCATGGCAAYGCTGTTGAAATGTGTTGCGCTCCCTCCGCACGGAGCATACATGTTTTGACGSTGAATTATTTGAATTAAAGCTAGAAAACGTGACAAAAGGAAGATGAAGGGGTTTGTGGAGGGAGATTATAACTGGAGTCGCTTCCATGGTAGGATGCAGCTGCCTGGCACCCAAAATGGCGGTCCCAGCCGATTGCAGGAAAGCGTCATTTGCGCTCCTTTTGCAGCAAAAAACATCACTTGTGCTTATGACAGGATACAGCGCTGAATTGAGCTTAATTCTCAAGATAACTCAAGGTGCTCTAAGCATTTTTTTGCTATGCTTATTAGACAGTGATTATGTATAGAGCAGTAGCAAAGCTGATAACTGACATAAATAGTGTCACTTTCTATCACTGCAGTTTGTTCTGGTACAGAAAGGGACAAGTTATCTAGGTAGGATGTACTTTATGAGTGCACAGCTCTGACTGTATTAAGAAAGCATCCCCCAAAGCAAACACACAAATGCAAAATCTGCATAGTCTAGATCTTCTATTCCATATACTTGAATTTTGGCAGGAATAGCATCAGTCACTTAATTTTATTTGGCATTTAAATGTTCATAAGTTATATTTTCATAAAGTTCAATTTTTTTTTTCATGCAATTCTATTCTACGCATATGGATCAGATGAGAATTAAAAGCAGAGACCTTTCTGCCTTCATTAAAAATATTGGATCAAACTGGCCGCTATTTGAAAGGATATTTTCCCAAACACATAGCCAAAAAAGAGGTGTTAGGCTTTTCATTTAGTAAAGGACTCTGTAGTGATGAAATCTGTAGTGTCTCCATTTCTGCTGGAATAATGAGTATACGAATGTGCACTGACATCCTTTGAAATAGTTGCTTACTGTAAATAAAGCTGCAGCTTTTACCTGCCAACTCAGAATCGCTATTTTCTTGATAAGGTTACAGGGTGTAGGGTWAATGCATTGTCATTTTAGATGAAGATACAGCTGAGTACTGCTTACATTTGTAAAAACATGACAATTCACAGTGCCTGTTAGATTTCCTTCCAATACCAAATCTACCCAGTAAGATACTARATGTTATGTACAAAGTAAAGGATTTAAAATTGGAACTTTGCAAGCGTTTTTTTTTTTTTCAATTACATGGAACAGAACTATCTATCCTGTGAAAGAAAGCAAAGATCATTAATGTAATAATAAGCTAAAGGAACCAGGACCTCAAAGTGGGGGAAATTCAGATTTTGCTTTCATTTGCTGTTTTGTATGTGCTGCAAACAAGGGCTTTAAAGGGTAATCAGACTTGAGCATCTTAGGCTGACTGGATGAGTGAGATTTTCTGCTGTCTAACCACTTGCGTCAACACAGAAATTATATACCATGCCAAGTATAATGAAGCAATCATTACAGAAAGAGAAAATGATGCATCATTAGAGTGGAGATCCTCACCCTTCTGTGAAATCCTAGGTAGTAATTAAAAGAAATACTTTACTACATTTAGGAAATAAGAAATCCATACTTTGTCTAGCCTATGCATACCTRTGCCTGCTTTCATTTAAATCAATAGCAAAACTATTGCAGTAACGTTCATGTTCCTGAAAACTATCCTACATTAGAAAATGAAGAGCAACTTAACAACAGTGTATAAACAGTGACTTTTTAAAAAGCAAAAATGCCCTATTCCCCCACTTAAAAGCATAACACGGTCTAATAAGACATAAAGCTAACACATTTATTAGAGGATATGACATGTAGTTTCTGAGTTGCCTAAACTTCCTGCAAGCTCACATCTGGCTGAAATGAGTGGAAAAAAAAAAACCTTCAAAATGGCCCAAACCATTCCACTTACAAAGAATAAGGCCAGGTTCAAACTTTTTAAGTAGACGAACTTCTATAATTCCAGCGTTTGGAATGAAGCCTGAAAAAGAACCCAGGCAGAAGGCAGTATCCTGGCAGAAGAAGGAAGAGATAACTCTCGTAGAGAGATCTGCAGTTCAGACCTTCATTTTGCAAATGTGTAGTTGCGTAGTGTTTTTTACAATGGAGAATGCTATGTCATGCTCAGGAAACTAGGGTTTGTGTTAAATATAAAAATTTAATTTTATATCTTTAAAAACAATGAAAATTTTAGCATGAGAATGCGTACAGGAGATACATTTATGAATAGCTTGAAAAAATAATTATTAGTATCATGAAAGCTTATACATATATATATATGTTTCTATGCGGAAAAGACAAATCAGAGGCAATTTTAAAATATGTTTAGAAAATTCTGAAGTGGAACAGGTCAGTATATCCAAAACTAAACTTCTGTTTTGAAGAAGCTAAATAAAAAATCTTGCATATTTCTGCAACCTCCCTCTGCTTTTTCTGAGAGAAAATTATTTGCCAATTTCAACCTGAGTTTGTGAATTTTTTTTTCCTGTAACACTTCCTTATCCCCTTGACCTTCCTATGTAAAATAAATTACTGTTAGTTTGGTTTTTGATGGTAAGAATAGAAGACAGTCACCCAACATAGGTTTGACCCACTGAAGCTCAGAAATAGAAATTCCCCATCACTTGTTTCGCAGAGATTTAGAAAGCACACAGCAACAAGAATATGGTTCTCTTGGTTGTCGGGAAAGAAAATGACAATTTTCTCTTTCAATAGATTTTATTTCTTGATTCCATCCCTCCACCTGGCAGACTCACTATCACCAGCCACCCAAATCCCTGAGGGTTTGAAGCTTCTCTGTAGGGCTATATATTTCCTAGCCTGGATAACAACRTGTCTTGAAAAAGGAGAGGGAAAAAAAATACGAAGGCAAAAAGGAAGATACAGAGAAGGAAGAAATAGYACTCTTGGACCTTTCAGAGTGGATTTCTGCTTGCAGCAGAGAGTGTTTGGGGTTTCATTTTGTTTGTCCTTTCCAGGGTGCATTTTCTTGTGGACCAGCCAACTGCATCATTTTTTTCCCCTCACTCAGACCAAGAGAGGGGACTTATGGCCAGGAGAGGGGTAGGAAGGAAAGGACTTTTTGCTTTCTTCAGCTTGAGGCTGCGGCTGCTGCCCGTGAATCCAACYGCAGGATGTCAGGTTGAACTGAAGGTGCCACAGCACTGCTCATGCCCCAGCCCCACTGCTCCCACACCTGCTCTTTGCTGGCACTGGTAAGTTAGTKCAGGAAGCCAGGCTGGCCAGAGATGAATCCCTTTTGTTTTCAGTCCTCTCGGCTCCCTGGACTGCTTTCCTGCTTATTGCCTGAGTGCCAGCTGGCAATAAAGAGGGTGYTGGGTAGAAGGCAGGGAAAGGGCAGGACTGTAAATAGCCCTGTTGAGATCAGTTTCAGCTGCTGGGGAATCACATCCCCAGCTGCAGGAGGGAGCTGTCTGGCTTACACCATCATTTGCCTTCCAAAGGAATTTCCAGTGTTGCCTGTACAGTTTTCTATGCCCTGATGCAAAGAACAGGCACTTTAGTACAGCTAAGCTTTTTGGCTGTAGCTGTCCTTATCAGCATTAGTTAAACGAGCCGAGGGTGAATCAGGCTGATATGCTGAAAATAGCTGCTAGGGTCAGGAGGCAGTTTATACTAGGGACTCCTCAGCGTGGGGACATTGCAACAAAAGATGTGCAAGGCAGAATTACAGACCATTGCTTCACAACAGTGCTTGGAGTGCACACTCCAGTGTTACATCCCCACTGACAGGGCCAGGAGCGCTGATGGATTCCTAAGGACAGTGTGAGCCCAGCGAGGCAGCTTCTCCCATGGGAGGGATTTAGCGGAGTGAGTGGTGACTCCTGCWTTCCTTGCTGTAACTTCCACAGGGACAGAACCGAAGTAATGTGCTGGATGGGTCACAGAGTAGGATGTTTGGGGGAGCAGATGATTAGGTACTGCCTTTTTGAAAACTTGGAGCTGTTTCCAATTAAGCCTTAATTAGATTGCTACTTTTGAAATATATATTTAATGATAACAAAAATGCAGTCTGTTGCTGGAGTAAATAAAAAGAAACAAAGCAARAACAGCCAAAAGTACATGGGTTTTAATTACTCTTAGTCTGGGAAATGTTTTTCATAGACTGTTGTCTTCAGAATCAAAATAACAACTTTTAAATTTAACACCTCAGTCAAGCGACAGTTGCTYTCAGGGTATAATTCACACCTTGCTACACTCCTATTCATACAAGACAATTTTTAGCAACAATGTTTTAAGAGGGCAATAATTTACACCTTGGTGTCCCTGTGATACTGAAGTTTAGAAATGTAATTTGCCATATCTATATATATATATATTTCACTCAGAGATCTCTTAAAACTTAAATGTCATTTAGCACATGGAAGAA